ACACAAGAAACTGCTGATGGTGACTGGTGGCAAGGATGCGAGGGGGCCGGGGACTGGAGAATGTGGCGGGGATGCTTCAACGTACAACTCTATGTATCGTTGACAGCTGCTACCCAGCCCCCAGCTTTACCTATTAAAAGGATCATAAATGTATTAAGTTCCCACTGTTTCCACCTGTCACAGATGCCTCCCTGGCCACCAGCCCTGCCTGAGCACGTCTCCATCACTTGAGCAAAGAGGACAAACTGAGTGGGGCCTGGGGACAGGGTCTCTCTGGTCTCTAGTGAGCTGGGGTGACAAACTGAGAGAAGATGAGGATCTCAGACACGGACCTTGGTGGAGGAGTCACATTCTGCCATCAGGGAAGTCGGGAGGACCTCGCTGCCCACACAAGACTCCCAAGTGTTGAGCAGGAGGGTGGTGGGCTCCACACAGAGCAGAAACACAGTCTGACAAGGGGAGGGTGCCCTTGCAGTCATCCTGTGGAAAACCTCTCTGGTCCCCATCAATACCGGAAGCGCTGGCTGGCTGCCAGCCTCCTCTGCTTCACTGCTGTGCCCATAAATACTTGTTGGCAAATCGATTAAACCATCTAGGAATGACGACTAGAAATATAGCTTCTTTTGCTTGGCACAAGTAGACAGGCCTTCACGGCCAGCTGGTCCCAGGACACTATACCTGTGCTTCTGCTCTTCAACCAAAAATCAGTCCTGAGCATCAATGGGCCTTCTGTGCAGAACACCCCCAAAACAGCACAAACCCAACACCCGAGTAAAATGTTTAGCCTACGGTACAGCCCATGGGTTCCCCTGACAAAGAGAACCATTAGTCACCCTGTATCAAAGCTGCTGAGGCCCCCACGGATGTTGGCCTCCATCTGGGGCTCCTTGCCTCCACCCGTGTCTCTCATGTCGCACTCACCACGCAGGAACTCCAAGACAACACCCTTCTGTTAGCACTCAGCCACCAGAATTTGGAAAGAGGAAACTTCAGGCCAGGGAGCAAGTTCAGACAAGGCCAGGACAGCCCAGGGGTGAGCGAGCATGAGAGTAGATGGGGCATGTTCCCCTGCTCGGGGATAAAGTGTAGCTGATTCCGAGCAGCAGAGTCGGCCCCTGCACCCTGCCTAGCTTTCAGCACACTCTGCAGAGCTCTTTGAGGGCCAGGAAGGAAGCAACGGAAGGAGAAAAGGCAACAGAAACAGCATGGCAGGATCTCAGCTAAGTTTACCACAGAGGGCTACAAAATCAGGTAGAGCCAACCCTCCTGAGTTGTCGGCTCCCCCTGCCTTGTCTGCTAGGGTTCCTGCAAGTCTCGCACCATTAGCCTCAGCCTGAATCCAGGTTCCTCAGCTATGAGCTATGTGGTTTTGAGCAACTTGCTCAACTTCACTGAGCATCAATTCCTTCAGGTGGAATCAAAGATGATTATCCATATATTCACTTAAAGAATACTTGAATGATTAATTTTATGAAGGGCTTAGAAAAGAGCCCAGCAGGATGAGATATGTCTAGCTAGTAGTATTATTGGTATTACTAGGTTGGGTCTGGACAACTGACACAGCCTAGTCATGTGCCTGGCTTGGTCTGTGTACACCTCAGCTACACACGCCTCAGCAGTCTCGGTTACAGACCTTTGAGCGTCCTCCAGGTCTTTGCAGGAAAACCCGAGACGCTAAGCCATATCATTCTGCGGTGTAGTGAAGGAACAATTCTACCCATGAGAGGTTCCAGGGCATCGTGCATTTGCAAGAGGAAATTGCACTGCCAGGGGCTCTTGTCCCGTCCAACATGTGCTTCAGGGTTCAGTGTGGTAAGACCTTTTAAGGCTTGCTTTTACAGTCATAAAAATCATAAATTGAAAAGGAGTTATCCATTAACAACTTCCACTGCATTAGAGGAAAATGCTTTACAGAGGCCACTCTGTATTCCATCTGTGACCCCCAGAACCTCCTCGGCCCAGCTGGTTAATTGCAGCAATGGACTCCAACTACTAGGTATCTGCTTAGTGCTGGTGTGTCTGATCCCCACAAACTGAAGAGGGGACACTGAGGCTTTGAGTAAGGAGTAACCCCAAGGGGCAGTCCTTTTATTCCCAGTATGCTTTCATTCCAATCCTGATACCCCCGTCAAGTTACCAGGTCCACAATCAATGAAGGCTCAGAATTCTTTCAACCCATAGATCTTCACGTGGGACTACCTTCCCAACCAAGGGACTCTGGAATGCGTGGTGGAATCTGGCCCAGATCACCCTCTATATATACAACATAGCTCTTTCCCAATCACCTCCCAGCCATTGGACCCCACTGTAGCATAGGCTGCCACATAATCAGGGCTTGCCCCAAGCTAAGCTTCCCTCTCTGCCATCATACCTCTATCCAAGGTAGAGGATGCCAGTCTTGTCTGGAGGGCAGCCTAGCACAATGCCAGGAAAACTCACCTGGTCATCACATAGGAGATGCTACAGGCTCGCATCATGACAGCCTACTTCACTATCATAGCCCCTACCCTGTACTCGCCTTCACCTCCCTGAATCCTGGTCCAGATTCTGCAAACCTGAAAAACCCCAGCCACTGGAGAAGGAGATAAAACCCTCCAAAGGACCCATGAGGTCAAAATGCGTCAAACACAACTGTCTTTCCCACCCAGCCTCCTTCAGTAACACAGGAGATCCTTGACTCTAACAGCCACAAGGGAGCCACAGGGACAATATGTTAGAGACTTAGTTTTGTTGTTGAGTACCAACCAATAGGCCGGAGTGGTCAATAACCGAAAGGAAATATTCTTTTTTAGGCTTTCATAGCGCCCCCTGCTGTCAATTTCAGACATTTGGTGCCAACACTCAAACTAAGAAAGGGATCCCATGTTCCATTTTACAGATGAATAGAGTGGATCTTAGGGAGTTCGAGTGTCTCACTAGAGACAGAACCACCGTGCTGGGGATGTCCAGAGGGCCGGGACACACCCTTCAGAGCGCCAGCGCAAGCACAAATTAATTCCAGCAGTAAACTTCCCAGCTGGACCAGAGAGCTCACTGGTGCCATTGTCTCCTCATCCCTAGGGTTTGCATCACCATGTCTACCTAAGAGGATTCCGGACACTTCCTACAAAGCACCACGATGATCACCCTGCTCGGAACAGACTCATCTGCTCCAGGGCTTTACAGGTCAACAGAAAACGGAGCATCATTCCACTGTTAACCATAGTCCAACAACCACAGAAACAGATGCCAGTAAAAAGGCTGCCAATTATCCCGGAGTTGGGAGCTCCGGCCACTTTTGTCTTGGCCTGCCACCCTCAAACCATCAGCCCACATTTTGCTCAAGCAAACACACAAGTCAAACCTTGCCCGTGGTTCCTTTTCTGGAATGTTACTCATGGGCTGTCAACTGAAGAGGGGAACATGGGAAAATGGTTGATCTCAGAGGCCAACAGACCTAGGAGGACCCTGCTCATGGTTCGGAGCTCTGTGCTTTAGGTTTTTTGTTTTCTTGGTTTTTTTTTTTTCTGACTTTCAAAAAAAGAAAAAGGTGTACAAAATCAGCCACACTGGCTGGCAACTATACCTCTCATTTAGAATGAACCCTGGAATTGGGGCTGCAAGTGCTCACTTCTGTAATATTTGGTAGGGAAGACATCTATAGATGGTTGCTGGGAGACCAGCACACTGTCACTTTTCTCACTGCTGTGACCTAACCCCTGACAAGAAGGAACTTCAGGGCAAATTCATCTTGGCTTAGGCCTCACAAAGTATGTGGTCCCCATGAGAAGGAAAGTATAGCAAGCCGCAAGAGCAGGAGGCAGCTGGTCCCAAGACATCTGCAGTCAGGAAACAGAGAGCTGACATAAAGTGAAGCCAGGTTATAAAAACTCAAGATCTGCCAAGTGGTTGTGGCACATGCCTTTAATGCCAGCCCTCAAGAGGCAGAGGCAGGAGGATCTCTGTGAGTTCAAGCCCAGCCTGGTCTACAGAGTGAGTTCCAGGACAGCACAGCTACACAGGGAAACAGTTTCCAAAAAAAAAAAGAAAAGAAAAGAAAAGAAAGAAACCCTTCAAGATCCCCTCCCCACCACCACCCTATGATCAACTTCCTTTCTCCCACTTCCTGAAGGGGATGAGGGTTCAAACATATGAGCCTGTGGAGGACACTTCATGTTTAAACCACAATAGCCGGTATGTGTGAGCAAGCCCAACAAAGCTCTGGGATTCAAGATGGGCCACATAGCCATGTGTACTTTTCCTAGAGGCTACCCTTCCTCCCGAGTGCTAGGATTAAGTAAAGGCCTGCCCTGCCGCCCACTGCCACCGGGCATTAATTAACTTTTCAACTGCCTGACAGGTTATGCATTGTGAATAAAGGAGGCCTTGGTGCCGCTAGGGTGAGACCTACAGCCCACAGAGGAGCTTCACTTCAACCAGATCGTTAGCAGTTGCCGGGATCTAGATTTCTGGTTGTCTGGAAAACAGGCCAATTCCATAGTCCAGGGCTTCATTTCCACACGGCCACAATCCGCTGGAGGGGAGAGCATCTTACCTCCTTTGACAGCTGCAGGAAGGGACTGGGTGGGATCTGGGTGTTCAAAGCTGCCTCCAGGAGGCGGCAATAAGTAACAGTTGCTAACACTACTTCTTGTCTGACAGATGGACTCCCACCCAGGGGCCGGGCAGTGGTGATGCTCTCTAGCCGGGACTAGGTTGGGTCATTCCATAAATCTCTTTAGCACTCACAGACAGCCCTTATCAAGTGCATTTACCATTATAAGCACACATATGATTCTAGATGACCTCCTGAGTGCCCTGAGCTAGAGTATGGCCATGTGACCCCCCCCCCCCCAGTGCCCTGAGTTTAATCATGACCACTGTGCCATTTAAAGATAGGTAAACTGAGGCAGAGCCTGCAAACTGCAAAGCCTTCGACAAAGTCAAAATTCAAAACCATGCCCTGATCACTGCTAAAAACGGCAGGGTTCCCCAACTACAGCTCTCCCTGCACTGCTTACCCGCTCCCCAGCTCTTCTGGGGCAGGAGGCCTCTGCACCCCTTGCCACCTAGGCCAGCACACTTACGGTCAAGGCCATTGATGTAGCGCATGGTGACTTCGCAGTGGCCCCATACGGCACTCACCACCGGGTACAGTTTCTTGCCCTTGAGGCCACGGAAGGCCACGCCCAGGTACTGGCCGTCCACGATGAAGCTGAGTGTGCCCTCGTCCATGTCCAGCACGACCAATAAGGAATCTGGCAGAGCGAAGGCCTCATCCGGCCCCAAGAAAGCAGGGTATGCCACCCCAGGTCGGTTCTTGCCATCGTGGTAGAGGCGGCTGCGGCCCAAGTCCCAGCCCCACGACTCGGAGTCGCTGCCCACCAGTGCAGTGTAACCCACTGAGTGCAAAGGGGCACGGGACGTGGCCACGCCCACCACAGCATGGGTACCCCGCTGCCTAGCCGGCCAGTGGATCTGCCATGCGTGCAGGCCCCGGGCATGGCCCACCTTGCCGCGGATGCCATCCGTGCTTTGGGCCACCGGGTGGCGGTGGAAGGTGAGGCGGTCATCATCCTTGACGAAGACATTAAGCGAGCGGTCCTCGGGGTTCCAGGCATGTCTCAGCTGCACAGCCAGCCCTGCCGCAGGCATATCCAGCAGCTGGTCTAGCCGCGCTGGCCGCCCGGGCTCTGAGCCTCGAAGCTCCCGCTTGGCAGGCCGAAGAGCTGGCTCTCGCACCTCCACAGACTTGAGGCTCCCCGAGAGCTTCTGACCCATGGCTCACTATGGGGAGGGGACCACTTCGGGCCACTGCTACCTCGTAGGAGCCTCCACTCCCCACAGCCAGGGATGGACCCCGGGGCTGGGAACCAGGCTTCCTGATGGTTGATCTCTACAGCCTCTGCTGGGCTGTGGCAGGGGCCCAAGCTCCTGGAAGGAAGCAAAGGGCACAAGTTATGAGAGAAGCATCAACAGTCAGCCACTCGTCCCTTCATTTATACCTTGGCCTTGGAAGGGCCCTTTGTAAGGCCCGGCCACATAATTCATGCGCATAATAATTAATGGTACTTCATATCTGGTACTTTCCAAGTATATGAGATATGGCAGACACTGTCCTCCATGATTAAGGTTTCCCTGTTCCTCTAAATCTTAAAGAAGTCAGTGATTAGTCAGCCTCACAGGTAATAAGTGACTGAGCCACGAGCCAAACCAAGGAACTTTGCTCTCAGAGTCTGTTCTTGGCACCAGAGTAACCCCTGGAAATCGCTGTCGCAAGATGAACTGAACCCCAAGAAACTGGAGTGCTGAGACATGGGGTCATACAGACTTAGCAGGTGGCTTGTGGGTTTGTAGCTCCAGTTATCTGGAGCTTTAAAAAAAAAATAATCTTAAAATGGAACCAGGTTTGGGAAGCAAGACACAGAGCAAGTGTTCGGTGGGGTCACCCAGGGACAACTATTTGAAGATGGCGGCGTGTTGTCGCCATGGGAAAATAAATGGCAAAGAAGGGGGAAAAGAGAGCTGATCCATCCAAACTGTGGAGCCAGACATCGCTGACACACATCCCTCTGTATCTTAAGCCTCTCCTGGACTCTACTTTCCCCCTCTGTAAGATGGGATACAACACCTCCCATTCGGGTGGTATGACGAGAATCTGAAAGACGGTAGGCTAAAAGCTCAGATCTGGGACTCTTGGCTTTGTTCTCCAGGCATCCCCCAGGGAATTGTTTCTCTTGGACACACCTGTGTTTTCCCTGGGCACAGACACATCATTGCTAACATTTATCCCAGTTAGTATCCCTTGCTGCAAGGACGGCAGTTTTCCAGGAGGCGGAGGAACTGGACACAGTAGGGTCATTCGGGCCCCAGGGACCTTGGGGAGCTTATATGGCCCTAAGTATGGGAAGAGGAAGGCTGAGCTTTGCCCCATCTGACTCCTGCGGCTGACAGAGGACAGGTGTGTGCCTTCTTCTTCCTTAGCCTGGGGGCATCCTGGCTCAGGACTTCTCCGGGACAAATGAGAAGACAGGATGCTGCCATGTTCTGTCTTACCAACCCATGACTTCCTATTGGTGACGGACAGTTCATCGTCACTGTCAATTTAAGACGCACCTATGTGATCAGTAAAGCTCACCTCTAAGGTATATCTGCCAGGACGTTTCCAGAAAGCACTAACCAGGGGTAGATGGCCCACCCCAAATGTGGGCAGCACCTTTCCATAGGCTGGCAATCCAGATAGAATACAAGGGGGAAACGGGAAAGCTGCCAACTGTAGGCACGTTCTCTCCCCCACCTTCCTGGCTGCCATCATCATGATGGGAGTTGCTGTGCTGGGCCATGCCCTCTTTGCCATGACAACTAAAGAAACCTCTGCAAGTGCAAGGAAAGGAAATCCTTTCTTCTTTAGGGCATTCTGTCACATTTTGTCACAGCACAGAAAGCTGACAATAGCAGAAAACTGACGCTGAGGTGTGGCTGGCGCTGTGCCTGTATCTGATCACGTGGTATAGAAGCTCGCAGAACTAATTTGCAGGAAGAATTCAGCAAAGTTTGGAGAAGCCAGCCAGAGAAATCCTAGAATTCTGTAAGTGCAGCTGTATGGGTGATTCTGAGACCTTAGGAGTCCAGGCTGCCGAGAGGAACGCCAACAAACAGCAAAGACATCTATCTCATCCAGTTCCAGGCAGAAACAATGTCTCATGGGAACCGAACCGAGGCCATTTGTGTTACCCATTGGCATGGAAGCTGTGCACATTTTGTTCACGTCCTGAGACTTTACAGAGGTTGAATTTAAAGGTGAAGAATGAATTAATTTCATTAATTAATTAATTAATTAATTCTCAGGGCAGCCCAGTGTTCAGGCTGTGGCTAGGTTTGGCTCTTTGGCCAGATTCACAGTGAGGTCTGGGAGCAAATACAGAGCAGGAAGAGCCAGACACTTAAGAAGACTGCCCCTCAGTCCTGCCACCCATCTTTCTCCACCACCAGGAACTGTGTCAAGCGGTAACAAACCCTTTCCTTAAGATGCTTTTGTCAGGGTTGCCAGAGCAATGAGAAAAGTAACAGATACAGAAGCCATAACAGTGAGGCCTCTAAAGAGATTGGAGCAGTGGTCCTCAACCTCCTAATGCTGCGACCCTCAAAAAAAAAAACAGTTCTTCATGGTGTGGAGACTCCAACCATAAAGTTATTTCCATTGCTACTTCATAACTATGATTTTGCTGCCGTTATGGACGGTAACATGAATAGCTGATATGCAGGCTATCTGATTCATGACCCCTGTGAAAAGGCCGTTTGATCCCCCAAGGGATCACGACCCACAGACTGAGAAACACTAGGTTAGCGCCATTATGAGGGACATCAGGACAACTAGAAAGATGCCGTGAGAACACCTCAGGAACTGGCTCCAGAGTGTGAAGGTTTTCACTTATTTGAAAGACTCTGTCCCAAGAAGCCAACTCCAGGACACACTGCCTACGCCAGGTACCTAGGAAATCTCTGTTTTCAATCATCAAGGCACTCACGGGCCACTTCAGCCATGACTCGAGGTGCTCCGGCTATCGCTTGAGGTAGGAAATCTAGCATGACCCACCATGCTGGTTTTGCAGGCATGCAGGATAGAAGAACTATTGGATCATGGAGGCTTAGGCCTAAAGTACAAAGGAAGGCCTAGGTGGCTAGACAGACAGGCATGGAATTCCTACAGGCAAGGGATTCCCAGGAAAAACCCAAGTGATTTCTCCAGGAGGGTGATGTATGAAACCGTGATCGTGAAGCCAAAGACGCAGGATAATGGGATGTCTGCTGAAGAAGGCAGCAGGCAGTGAGCAGAGACGGCCAACAGAGAGGCCAGGGGAGCTGCAAGGGACAATGTCATAGGCCCAAGGGTGCTGGATTGACATCATGACACCTTGTACCTCGTGTTTTCGCTAAGAAGTTTCAGTCTTGCTTTGGTTCCGTCCTCTCCATTCCCCGACGCTGTCTACTGAAACGGGAATGTTTAGTCTGTGCCATCAAATCTGGAAGCATGTGGCTTGTTTTTGATTTTGCAGGGACCCACATGTGCACGGAGGTTTGGAGGATAATTTGGACCTGAACAGTGCTGCAACTGTGGAGATTCTGGGGGGGCCGTGAGAGAGACTAAAAGCATGTTAAGACATTATAAGACAGAATTGAGCCTTTTGGGAGCCAAAGGTGAAATGTTGTAGCCTGCATAATAATTGATAAGAGGTGAACTTGTGATAGTTACTTCTTTTTCTCCAGTGGATGTACTCATACCTGTGCGTGTGTAGGTCCGGGTGCATGTGTGTATGCAGGTGCATACTCACATATGTGTAAGTAACCCACGGGCCAACCTTAAATGTATTCTTTAGGTGCCATCTGCCTTATTTTTTAAATAAGGGTCTCTCATTGGTCTCAGACTCACAGAATAGGCTAAGCTGGCTGACCAGCAAATCCCAGGGATCCATCATCTTTTCCACTTCCCCACGGTTTAAAGTACAAACCACCATGCCTGGCTTTTTTACATCGCTTCTGGGGATCAAGCTCAGGTCCTTGTGTTTGTACAGCAAACACTTTACCACCTGAGCCATCTCCTTGGTCCCATGATAACCGTGAGTGTCACCGTCACTGTACCGAAAAGTGGGAGGACAGACAGGGACACCTCTGGTACTACTGCAGGCATCCCCTGTATGCTTCTGGCCTCTGCCATTGGAGCCCCCCTCCTCCCGCACACGCCCTCTGCCACTATGAACTGAAACTCCGGGACTGCGAGCCAAAACAAACCCTTCTCTCAGGCTGTTGTCTCAGGTGCTTCTGACTGACAGGGAAGTCTACTACTCCTCCCTGAACAGAAACGCACCCCAACCAGAGTGAAGAAGGGACGGAAGGACCCCCGCTGCCACTCAGCATGGACACACGTGTTTTTAACTCTCCAATTTTAGTCTCCTCTCCCATGTTCTTCCCTTTCTGTTGTTAGGCTGGCATCAACTCTATTTGGAAAAGTTCTGGGTGACGTTTGATCTGAGAGAATACTCGATCACAAAAATCCCCAACACTCGATAGTTGAAAGGCGGCAGAATAAAATTACTCATGCTCTGATCTAAAATCACCCAAAATCAAGGAGAAAGAAATCGAAATGCAAAGGCCCTCTTCGGCAAAACTGGACACGTTTGTAACCTAAACCACAGCTTAGGAGGGAAGGCTGCCAGACACAATCAGAGGTGGCCCAGAGCAGCCAGGATCAAAGCTGGTCTAAAACACCTGAGAAGGCTCCTTGCGGGCCAGGGTTGTGGGAAAGACTGTAGAGTAGGCTAGCGGCTGGGATTCCTGAAGGACGACTCCAATAGTCTAACCAAGGACACCGGGCAGAGGATGTGCAGTCTGGTGTCAGGAACTGTGTTTGGCCTCTCAGGGAATGGGAAGAACGGGAAACAGAGGAAACCACAGCCTGCCTTCTTCCTTCACAGGCAACAGAGCAAAGGCCGGGCAGGAGGAGAGAAGCCCACAGCTACTCTGCTGGCTGAAAAATAAAGAAACTATCAAAAGAAATCACCACCCCAGTCACAGAGCAATCCTGCACTCTTTGTGTAATTTCCAGCATTTCTGCAAATATATCTGCAAAATCCTCAGCGTAGACAGCCCCTAGAGCAGAGAGAAACATACCTGGATGGAACGAAGACACCATTGGAGAATAGCTCAGTCCAGAGGGTGCTTGTCTCCAAGTCTGAAGACCCGAGTTGGATCCCAAGACCCACGTGGTAGACAGAGAGAACTAATTCCCAAGTTGTTCTCTGACCGCTTATGCACGCTGGGGCACACTCACACACCACAAACACAAAATTAGTAAATTTCATTTAAAAATTTCAAGATACTATCGGAGAAACAAAGGAGAAAAAAGACCAAGAAAAGGCAACTGGAGAAATGCTGTCATTTAAAGCAGCTGCCGTAAAGCATCTAGAAACTGTGATAGAATCGGTAAACAATCTTTGCAGTTACTCATTTTAGAAGGCAGGCAGTCTAAACAAAAGATTAAATTCATTCTACATAGTTATTCTAAAGATAACTTCCCCAACTAACAATAAAGCACAAACCTTCTAAACTGTCAGAAGGAAGGCGGCACAAAGTAAAACAGACCGTGCCCCTGAGGGCTTTGTTTTAAGAAGCTATTGAAGCAAGAAGACGTCAAGACAGAAGATGTGGTAGTAAAAGCGAGACCGAAGTAGTAGCCATGTCAACGCACAGTCATAACAAACCACTCAAAGGCAAAGACCAAAGCTAGGAAGAAGACAAAGCCCCCTGCCTCGGACAACACACGAGAGCCATCCCAAAGAAAAGTGAGTCAGAGCCAAGAGCAAAACAATGGAAGGACAGACAGACAGATAGCTGTGCATAAGCTCATACCTAGAACAGCCTAAGCAAGAGGCAAGCAAAGCGGATTTCAAAGCAGAAGTTTTAAATGAAGCAAAGGAGACTCGTTTGCGGTAATAAAGGAATATGATCCATAGCTGAAGATCAGCCACATCAGATGGCGCCCGCCATTCAGAGCAAAAGCGAGAGAGGGACTACAGGGCAGGTGATTTTAATTCCCATCTTCTAGCTCATGAGTGATCAGTTGGCCAAATGAAATAGAGACCACGAAACGGCAAAGCCTACATGATTAATACACAAGATCTAACTGATGTGTGGATGGTGTTCTGTGTCTCAAGTGCAAAGAAAGCCTGTTCTTTCTGATGTCCATGGAGCCATCAGAACTTCTCCCGCTTGGCAGCTCATACAGCCTATAGCTTAGTTTTGGGGATCTGACACTTTCACAAAACATACAGACAGGCAAAACACGATCGCACATGAAATAAATAAATAAATAAGAAACCTTCTCCTAGCTTCTGTAAAGGAAAGGACACAGTCAACAAGACAAAACGACAGCCTACAGAATGGGAAAAGATCTTCATCAACCCCACATCAGGCAGAGGTCTGATCTCCAAAATATACAAAGGACTCAAGAAATTGGTCATCAAAAGAACAAATAATCCAATAAAAAAAATGGAGTACAGACCTAAACAGAGAACTCTCAACAGAGGAATCTAAAATGGCTAAAAGACACTTAAGGAAATGTTCAACATCTTTAGTCATCAGAGAAATGCAAATTAAAACAACTCTGAGATTCCATCTTACACATGTAAGAATGGCCAAGATCAAAAACACTGATGACAACTTATGCTGGAGAGGTTGTGTGGAAAAGAAAACACTTCTGCATTGCTGGTGGGAATGCAAGCTGGTAGAGCCTCTTTGGATGTCAGTGTGGCAATTTCTCAGAAAATTAGGAAACAACCTTCCTCAAGACCCAGTAATACCACTTTGGGGTATATATCAACTATGTTCATAGCAGCTTTGTTTATCATAGCCAGAGCCTGGAAACAACCTAAATTCCCCTCGACTAAAGAATGGATAAGGAAATGTGGTACATTTACACAATGGAGTACTACACAGCAGAAAAAAATAACGACAGCTTGAATTTTGCAGGAAAATGGATGGAGCTAAAAAACATTATTTTGAGTGAGGTAACCCAGACCCAGAAAGACATTTATCAAATGTAATCACTCATAAGTGGTTTTTAAACAAAAAGGAAAGAAAACCAGCCTATAAATCACAATCCCAGAGAACCTAGACAACAAAGAGGACCCTAAAGAGTCATACATGAATCTAATCTACATGGGAAGTAGAAAAAGACAAGATCTCCTGAGTAAATTGGGAGCATGGGGACCTTAGGAGAGGGTTGAAGGGGAGGGAAGAGGCAGGGAGGGGAGCAGAGAAAAATGTAGAGCTCAATAAAAACAGTAAAAGAATTTTTAAAAAAGTGATTAAAAAAGAAATCTTTTCCTACATATTAAGATACAGATAAAGCCTCAGAGAGTGAATATAGCACAGTGTCTGGTAACAGGGGGTGGGAATCACTGAGAATTTTTTAGTTTTTCTTTAAACAATTCAGATTTTAAAATTTCATATACAAATGCACGGTTATCTAGAAAGTAACAGAAAATTCATCTGTTAAGTTTGTGGGATGCCTCTGACACAAGGACGTCACAGATAATGTGCGTACACTAACAACTGGTTTCTTACATTTGTTCATTTATTTGGGGTGAGGGGCACACACACCGAAGTGAGAATATGGAGATCAGAGGACAACTCATGGGGATCAGTTCTCCCCTTTCACCGCAGAGGTCCTGGGATCAAACTCAGGTCATCAAGCTTGCTGGCTCGTACCTCCATGTTCTGAGCGAGCCAGCTCACTGGATTCCACATTGTTACACTTCTTAAAATGAATATACATAAACTAAGCACAATTAGGTAGAAAACAGAATTAAGAGAAAATCCAAGAGCTGGTTCTTTTTTGTGGAGAAAGGGATACATACCATAAAACTAGAAGTAAACCACTAACTAATCCCATTTAACCCATCCTACTGGGTTTTCTCGCAGCCATTATTGCCTATTATGCGATCTGTCAATGCGGTCAACATGCATAACGAAGAGGTACTTTCTCTGTGGTTCCTTCCTCCACAAGCACAGGAGCCCATTCTAATCATAAAGATAACAGAACAAATTCCAGTTGGTGGGGCAGGGGACCCAAGATGCCCAACCGGCACTCCTCCTAACTGTCAAGGTCATTAAAAAAGAAGAAAAGGTCAAGAGACTGGGCCAACCAAGAGGAGCCCAAGGAGACATAACATGGCTTCCCTGGTGGGATACTGGAACCAAAGGAAGGACTGTGGGCAAAAACAAAAATCATCTGGATAATAATAATGTAGCAATATTGGTTTGTTAATTGTGACAAATACATAATACTAGTGAAAGAGTTAACCATAGAGGAAGGAGTGCGTATGCGGGGTCAGCAAATGAAACCTATGTTGCTTTGGTCCTCCCCTCCCCCACTCTGCTTTCTCTCTCCTTTCCTCCCACGTTGGAAATTAAACCAGGGCCTCATGCAGCTAGGTAAGTGTGGGGTTAGTTTTTCTATTTAAGTCTAAAATTATTCAAAAAGTAAAACTTGTAAACTGGGTGGTGGTGGTGCATGTCTTTAATCCCAGCACTTGGAAGGTAGAGATGGGTGGGTCTCTATGAGGTTGAGGCCAGCCTGGCCTACAAAGCGAGTTCCAGGACAGGCTCCAAAGCTATAGAGAAACCTTGTCTCCAAAAACCAAAAAAACAAAAACAAAAACAAAAAAAGTAAAACGTAATTAAATCTTAAATCCGTTTCTCAATTTGAGAAATACCAAAAGTGTGCACTAACCAGACTTTCAATCTCTCACCTTCTAGTTGCTCTCCCTCGATATTGTGCCATTCAAACAATGCCGAGTGTCACGTGTATAAAACATTGGGCACAACTGGGAGCACAGCTAAATACGTGGGGAAAATGAAACTGCTAGATTCAGTGCATCTGCCATTGTGAAAGATGGAGTTCATTTACCATCCCCTGAGTTGACCAGAATACACTCAGGTCCATGATGTACAAGGCTGTCCGCTTTTCTACACTCCTGCAAGGAGCCATTCATCTTTTGGATCTTCACTGAGCTGATAAGACAAAAAAAAAGCGACTTTCCACTGCAGTTAAAAGTTGTTTCTTGACAGCCAGCTAGAAGATAGATTAAAACAATGATCAGCCTACCTGCTGTGGGTTGAATCTGAACTGTCCCCCATAGGTTCTTGTGTGTGAACACTTGATCCCGGGGGGGGGGGGGGGGGTAACACTGTTTGGGATGTCTGTGGAATCTTTAGGCAATAGAACCCTTTGGAGAAAATGGGTCTCAGTAGGTGGGTCTCAATTCCACTTCCTATCCACTCTGCTTCCTGACTACAGATACAACGTGACCTGCTGGCTTCCTGTTCCTGCCACCATGCCTTTCCTCAGTGTGACAGACTGTATCCTCTTGAACTGTAAGCCAAATTGAAACTTTCCTCCCTTAAATCGTTTCTTGCTAAGTGTTTTTGCCAATAGCAACGACAGAGAGTAACTAATACAGAACACAGTAATGAGAAGCGAGGCCACCACTCTGGTAAATCTGGCCATGTGGGCTTAGGCTTTTGGGATTTGTCTGAAGGAGAAATTCGAAAGAGTTTGGAACACTGGGTTACAAAAAAAAAACTTTAGAACACTGTAGCAAAACTTAAAGTATTCTGGTGGGAGTTTGAAAGGCCAGAATCCTGACAGAAATGTGGGCAGTGGAGGCTCAGCTCATAAGATATCAGAACAGAACAAGGACCCTATTGGGATCTGGGTTAGAGGCCACGTGTGTGCTATTCTAGCAAAGAATATGGCTTCACCCTGCCCCTGTCCTGAGAACTTGAGTGAGGCTCAATTTAAAAGTAACACACTGATGTGTTAGGCAGAGGAAATTCTGAGGAGAGGTAACTTTCAGGCTATGGAATTATGGCTACTAACTAACTGATCTTATCCAGGTCTGCAGTGAATGTTAGGGACAATGGGGCAGGAAAATATTTTTTAAATGTGCCCTCTGGCTAGAAAGTGAATGAGTGTGGTAGTTTGAATGAGAATGGCAGGCCCATATATGGGAATGCTTTGGACACACACACACACACACACACACATTGTTAGAACTGTTTGGGAAGGCTTTGAGGTGTGGTTCTTTTGGAGGAGGTGTGTCACAGGGTGCTGGCTTTGAGGTTTCAAAAGCCCAAGCCATTCCCAGTCTCTCCCTCACCCTCTCTCTGCCTGCTGCTTATAGGTGAGAGTTAAGCTCTCATCCACTGCTTTCTTGCCATGCCTGCCTGCCTGCCGCCACGGTCCCTGCCGTAATGAGCATAAACTCTAACCTTCTGGAACCATGAGCGCCCAAACTAAATGCTTTCTTTTGTAAGTTGCTTTAGTCACGGTGTTTGGTCACTG